CCCTCACATCTGTACCTACACCACTCACATCTGCACCTAGATCACTCACATTTGCACCTAGATCACCCACATCTACACCTAGAACCCTCACATCTGTACCTACACCACTCACAGCTGCACCTAGACCACTCACATCTGTATCAGTCACACTTTCTGTTTGCATTTAGTTCTCAAGATTCTTTTAAATCTCCATAAAGTACTGCTTTTCTTTCACTCTTGAAAGAAAATAATTATCTATTCCTAAACAAAATGCAGGAAAACTACATAATATGAAAGTGATAGATGGAGGAAAAGATACTATTCAATCTTATTTTAGTTTTATTAAGGTTTATTTTTATTTAATGTATATGTGTGTTTGGTCTGAATGTATGTGAACCATATGCATGCCGAGCCTGCAGAGGCCTGAAGGCAGAGTGAGAGCCCTAGAACTGGAGTTACAGCTGGTTTGTTAGCCACCATGTGCCATGTGGGTGCTGAGAACTGAGCATTCCACAAAAGGAGCCAGTGCTCTTGACTGCTGAGCAGTCTCTCCAGCCCTGAATTGACTCTGTTTTAAAATGCCCAGTTGCTTTTATGCTGGGCATTGTCTGTTTCGTATCAGCCCCGAAACTTTCCTATTGTATTTGCTAGATGTTTCAGATTCAGGATACCTGAAGTTCCTTGCATAAGTTTTGACTGTTGTCTGGTTCTCACGGCCCCAGAGACTAACTGAAGTCATCCATTCCCCCACTACCCCCGTGGGAGAGATGGGAGGAGCAGTTCTTCTCATTCCCTCTGACTTGAAAACCACTGTCATTGTTCTGACTTGAGTCTTGGGTTGCTTATGTTTAAGAATTAAGGGCCTATGTCTAAATAATAATAAACTAAATAGTAATAATCGACTAAAGCAATTTTAATGTGCTGCCGTCCAATGAAGTGATGAGAAATTTACATGATTTTGAAAGTTCTTAGTACTGCTGTGAAATCTGGAGAGCCATTGAGGACATTGTAGCTTGTGTCATGGGGTGAGGTGACGATGGGAATCATATTTCAGGTCAGGTCTCAAAGATCCCTTGTTTGCACAGCTCATGAATGCCTTTCTTTGGTTTATTTGGGTGTAGGGGGGTTATAGGACTGACTTATGATTGTCAAGGTCATCTGTGCAGTGTTGGTTTTTCCCTTTATATTATTAGTGTAATAAAATCATCCAAATGTTCACATCACAAAACAAAAACCAAAGAGGCAGTCTGCTTTGCTCCCATGTTCATCTTAGCAGCCTTAATCAGCTCACATTTATTTATCATCACCACCATCATCATCACCACCATCATCACCACCATCATCACCATCATCATCATCACCACCATCATCATCACCATCATCATCACCACCATCATCATCACCACCATCATCACCACCATCATCATCACCATCATCACCATCATCATCATCACCATCATCACCACCACCATCATCATCATCATCATCATTTTCCTACACTGATCTGGGCCCTTCTGTTTTTACTTTGCCTTCGGCCCCAGTGACTTTTTGAAAGCCCAGGAAGGAACACCTTTTGATAAACTACTTTACAGTATCCTCATGACCGGATGCCTTTAGTGAAACTTAATCCTTTAGGCTCCTGAATTCTCGTTTAAAATAATGTCCAAGACAAGTATTTTAATGTGAATTTCTTACACACATCTGCTTGTGCATGTTGGCTTACAACTCAGTTTCATGCGACTTAATCATTCATCCATTTCTTCATTCATTAAACCTTTTGAATGCATTTTACATAAATTCCAGGCAGAGTTCAATGCGCTGGTCCTGGTGGTGACACAGCTCTTCCACATACCTTATACTAAATTAAGAGAGACAGTAAGCAAATTGTTTACTTAATATCTATTTCTTTAACTCGGGTTTCTGAATACTTCATGACTTCACAAAGTGAACTCACCTTCAAAGTCTGGGGAACAAAAGTCACAGTTTGAGTCCCTTGTTAGGCATGTCACCATCAAGGTGACTGATCATTCCCAACATCCTTTTTAGATTCCGTGTTACTCTGCTGATACGCAGCTGTGATCTCGGAGGTAATGGGACCTGTAAGTACACCACGATGAAAGACAGGCCAAATAGAACCTCTAATAAGAACGTAGGAATTAGTAATGACCTTTCAGATGAATGTTTCTGAAAAACATCACATTTCCATTTCCTCCTTTCATCTCTAGATATTTCAGTGCAGAAGGAGAGCAAAAATAATGTTTATATGGTAGTTTATGTAATCCTTCATTCAGTCTCAAGGAGCAGATTTTTCTCAGACTGTGAAAGGCATTGTTTTCCTGATAGCAGTATAAAAATATCCGTAATAAAATATTACTCTAGTGTATACCCTTTAAAATCAGAAATTGGATTTGATGAAACATAATTCTACATTATCCAGAAGGTATTGCCTTCAAAATATTTGATTTTAAAATTTTGAGCAAGACCACCTGTCTTAAATACAACTCTGCTTTGGTGGAATGCCTTGCCTTCAATGTTTTTCTTGTAGGTTTTTCTTGGTTTGGCCTAAACAAATCTGAGGTCGGCCTCAAGTCCATGTTTCATTACTTCCCATTAATCTTTGGGCTGGCTAAGTCCTTATTTATTCTTGAATTCTCACCTCACAGCCCACTTCCCAAGGAATGCATTCTCTCTCTGGGGTGAACATCCTAACTGTATACAAAGTAGTGGGTTTTGTTTCAAGATCATCATTATGTTAAATGTTAATCTAAGATATCAATTTAAGAACCCTTCAAGGAGCTAATGTATTGATGATTGGATGAGGAATATATTACTGTAAAAACATAGCTTGCTCCCCCGAAAACACCCTTATTATGTACATCCGATATTACATTGTGTTCCTGAGTCTCCTTCTCCTTTAGGTTACGTTAGGAGTACTCCTGTCTTGCTCACCATGTTCAACTGCCTCTGTAGCAGCTCAACAACATAGACAACTGAGTGAGGTGAAGAACCTCTCAGATCTGGACAGTTCTGAGCATGTTTTCATGTATATTTGTTTGTTTTGCCTGATTAAACAGCAGTGTTTACAGGAATCTCATGAATAGTCATCCTACGAATGCATGCATTGTCTTAGTTTACTTACTATTGGTCTGATAAAACCTTGACCAAAAGCAGCACGGGGAGGAAAGGGCTTATTTCATCTCACACTTCCAAGTGATAGCCCATCACTGAGAAAAGTCAGGACAGGAGCTTCAAGGCAGGAACTAAAGTAGAGACCATGGAGAGGGGCTGCATGCTGGCTTGCTCAGCTTGCCTTTTGATATATATGCCCGCCAAGATCATCTGCCCAGTGGATTGAGATCCCCCACATCAATAATTAGTCAAGAAAATTCCCATCTGACTTGCCCAACGCGAGTCTTTTTAAGGCATTTTCTTAGTTGAGAGTCTCTCTTCCTTGAGAGCTCTACCCTGTGTCAGCTTGGCAAAAAGTAAGCAACATAAACCTTAATATCATTTATGCTGGATTGAAGATTTGTTCAAATGCTTTTCTAGATATCAAGTATCTGGATATCTATTATCTTGCATGCCAGGAATCTGTCCATTTCTGTGAATTAGACTAAGGATGTCAGAGGCATAGAACCATACCTTTACAAAGCAAACATTACCTTGCACCGTCATGGGTAACTCTACTGCAGTAGTTGCTATACACGAATCTTATAAGTGTATATAAGTATATAAGAAGCAGTGTGAGCTATTTGGGTTTTGTTTTATCTT